GTGAGTCCCTAAGCAACTTAGCTCAAAGTAAAAAAGTAAAAAGGGTTGGAGATGTGGCTTAGTGGTTAAGCACCTGTGGGTTCAATCCCCAGTACCAAAAAAGAAAGAGAGAGAGAGAGAGAGAGAGACAGAGACAGAGATAGTACAGCAACCAAAGTGCCCTTTTATTATCTCCAAGTGGCATATATGGTTTATACCTTTCATGAACATTTTTAGATGCATATTCAGGAATGTGTAAATCTGTTTAAAAATCATTTCAGATTATTCATACTGCCCTATGTTTGCTTTTTTCACTTATAATTATATTTCACAGACAAGACTATGTTTCTCTTGCCACCGTAGGATCAGTTGACTGTGAGAAAATGACTCTTTCATAACTCTCTCAGCATGTTTTCTCTCGGTCCTTAATGGGTTTATTCTTTTCAAAGTCATGTGGATTAATTCCAGCGTGTCAAATAAATCTTTGGTTCTAAAACGACACGGTTAACAAAGACAAACAACTCATGTGCTCACAATTTTCCATCCAGTGACTTGTGAACATGTTCACGGAGACTCCCTACCCGGCCAAGTCTTGCTCCAGAAAGGGCATAGCCAATGGGCGCCAGGGGCCTGGGAGCTGTTGGAGTCCCAGGTTTCTTCACCCGCCCATGAGCCAAAAAGAAATTACACAATAAAGCAAAGGAGAGAAGCCGAGGCTTTGTTATCATAGCAGAAACTGCAAATTCCAACCCACGGTGGCAGAACAGGACCCCCTGGGACCCTGATCCTGAGTTTCCTTGGGCCCTGTGTTGGTGTTAAATGAAGCTGTATAACGTGAAGCACTTTGTAATCCTCCTTGAGTGCTGGGGATTGTATTACTGGTTTCATCACGGCTTTATGAAGCAGTTTTAGATGAGAGAAATAAACTCTAGATCATGAAATGTTTGGTGTCCAGGTGGCCTCTGTCCTGAGATTATAAGTCTGCGTAAAACATTTAAGGAAAAAAAAACATCTCCGATCGGGACATACTAAGTGGCAAGAGAAAGAGTAGAGTGTGTCTTAAGTGCATGTGGTTGGAGAGATCAGAGGCGGGAGGGTGAGGCAGGGATTTGGTGGAGGGGAGGTACCCTTGAGGGTTGAATTTGATGTGACTGCTCTGGGGAGCTCGGGTGCTTGGAGGGACACTGGTCCAGAGGCCACTGTGAAGGACTGTGGTGTCATGTGGATGTGATCAGCACCCACAGTCGTGGTCACCGACTAAGGCATATCAGCCCCCACAGCGAGGTGGGTCTCACCAGTCACGGGAAGGCCTTCTGAGCGGGAATGGGACTTCCTGGAGCAGGAGTAAATGGAACACTGCCTGAGTCCCCGGCCTGCTGGCCCGCCCTGAGGTTTGGGGCCTGCCAGCCCTCACCATCCTATGAGCCAATTCTTGAACTTTTGGTTACGGGATTGCGGTTCTAGAAGAAAGGACGAGACAGGCAGACTGCCACCCATAGAAACTCCTAACAAAATGCTAAGAGGCACATTCTTGGTGACTATGAGTTCATACATTAGAACGCTTTTGTCCAACTAGACAGTACAGATTGGCTGGGTGCCCATAACTGTACTGGACAGAGTGGGGCAAGGAAAAGAGGCACTTAGGGGCCAGGTGCAGTGGCCTGTAATCCCAGCGGCTCGGGAGGCTGAGGCAGGAGGATCATGAGTTCAAAGCCAGCCTCAGCAAAAGTGAGGCGCTAAACGACTCAGCGAGACCCTGTCTCTAAATAAAATATAAAAAGGGCTGGGATGTGACTCAGTGGCCCAGAGCCCCCGAGTTCAATCCCTCGTCCCCCTGCCCTGCCACCAAAAAAAAGAGGCACTTAGGGCTTTGCTCCCAGGCTGCAGTGACCCAGTTGACCTGAACATGTTCTATGTTCTGAAAAACCCTTATCATCTGTAGCCACAGGGCTAAGATTTCTGAAAAAACAAATCCAGAGTCTCATCCTCTGAGTGGGTAAATGAGAAAGCAAACTGAACTCTCAGTCTCATTGCTGTGGGCTGTTAAGGTGAAATCAGGAAAGAAGATTCTAAAATTTGGAGGATATAGGGGCACATCCTGATGGAGATCCCTAAATTCTGAATCCCTAAATCCTGCTGAGTCTTCTCTGCCAGGAGAATCAGTCCACCATGCCTGTATGAAGGGGTTCACTCTGCTTTACCTGAGAGGCCTGCAGTGGCCTCCCCTTGGGTGGTTGCCCTGGAAGACACTGCTGATTCTCTTCAGTATCCACCCCACCAACCCTGTTTCTAGACTTCATCTCCAGCAGCTCTGGAAAGGTGAGGTAGGAAGAGTGCCCCATGAGCTGGAAGAGCAGCTCAGGGGTGGAACTCATGCTCAGCATGTGCAAGGCCCTCCCTGGGTTCCGTCCCCAGCAACACACACACACACACACACACACACACACACAGGCACACAAAAGTGTTACCAAGAGGTAAACTACATTCCAAAAGAATAGCACTATTTTTCCAATTTACCCAGAATAAATCCGGGGAATAAAGGTAGGAATGGATGAAGCCCAGGAGGTCAGGAAAGAAGAAACAAAGATATGTTGATATGGGTCCATTAAGCAGAGATTTTTTTTTACATCCAATATGGTGGCCTAAGGTGTTGGAAAGAGCTCTAGCCGTTTGCTGGTAGCTGAAACTTGGTACCTATGCTAAATAAGTGGGGTGGAGAGCTGCTTTTGGAACACTAGAGACCCAAAGACCCAATGGGCTCAAGAACGTGGCGGGGGTGGTTTGCACAGGCAGCAACATGGGAACGCCAGCTCCAAAGGGGGGGACCATGACTATTTGCTTCATTGTGTCCCTGAGCCCAGATCGGAGCTGTTGCTGAGGTGCCCGATCACCACCCGGAAGAATGAATACACAGACTACGAAATACTAAAATGCAGTATGAGGAAAGAGACCGTGGAGCCACTCAATGGAGTTTATTAGCTTATTTAAAAATACAGAGGTCATGAACATTTGTAAAATTCAGTGTGTACAGTCAAGTGGGCTTGGGAAATTCACACACACACACACACACACACACACACACAAATTACTAATACTTGAAGATCTGAGTTTTTTTCACCCCTATACTTTCAGATCAGTCAAAAGAAATGAATTTAGAAAACACACCTATAAGATATACTGGTAATAAGTTTGTGCTTCGAGTCTATTTGCTTTTTTGAAAAATGCTTGTAGAGGATAACTGAGGTTTGGAACTTCACGAGTTTAAAAAGTATTTGAAAGTTCTTTGGAAATGACAAAACTTTCACGTATCTACAATTTAGCACCTCCATGTTTCCTTGGAGCCTCCCAGTGGTTCCAGGAATGTGTGGAGTGTGGAATGAGCCTGATGCTGCCGAGCAAGAATCCTTTTTCAGAAGAAAATCAGAGCAAGTGTGGTAGATGGCTACGGACAAAGGCTACCAAAGGTTGTGTGGGACACAGGCCCCACTTGCTCCCCACCTCCCATCTCCTTCACGAAGCATGACCAGTTTAGTATTTTACCGGCGCACTGACATTTTCTTACTGGACTGCGAACACAGACATATAGTTTCAGATTCATAGGTTTTAGATTATCTATCATTCCCCCACCATCCACACTTATCCTGCAGAATACAGATATACTTTCTCTATTTTTTCCCTGGTAATAAAAATACACAATTCCTACAGAACAAGTTAGAGAAATAACCACCCATAATTGCCACAGAAATTTGGCATATTTCTTTTTCCTGTCTTTTAAATAAGCAAATGCTGTTTTCGTACTCCCTAGCATGTCCCTGACTATGAGCCGAGTCTGTTGTTTTCTTGAGTTTATTTTTAAGTCAGGGATTAGGTGGCTGAAGCCCAAGTTTGGCTTAGGGACTTCTGGCCTGTCCTTCCCTTGTGATCTCTCACCCATCTTCTAAGGCCGGAGGACTATTTTCATAGCCTAGCCTAATCTCCTGTGGACCTTGAACACATTTCTCCATCTATTACCAAATACCTGAGATTTATCAATCACAACTGTTATCTTTATTTTTGTGAACACTGGGTAGCCCCAGGTTTCCCAGGAGAGCTGTGTGGACGTCAGAGACGTAACAGAACAGAAACAAAACAGCCCTGGTAACTCCCTGGCCTGGTCCTTCCTGGGACTGACAAGTGGCCACATGGTCCTCACTGCAATTCAGGAAGGTTCAATGAGCCACATGGCTTTCATCACAAAACGGCTTGACTCAAAGGAAGGGAATCCTTCACTAGAATCTACAACACATGAATCTGTCTATTCACTTTTCTATAAGTAACTTACTTCTTTATGAAACAATTTGTCCTTCCAGATGATTAGTCAAATTTTATGACTCAAGAGTTGGGTAACTTCTGGAGTTCTAATGCATAGCAAAGTGACTGCAGTTAATAGTACTACACTGTGTTTCAAAACAGCTAGATCTTTAAATATTCTCAAAACAAAGAAATGATCAATATTGAGGTGACAGGTATGGGCTTGTTAGTCCAATTTGATAATTCCACCATGTATCAAATTTGTATCCTACAAATATATACATTATTTTTTCTTTGTTTTGGTACTGGAGATTGAACCCAAGGACACTTAACCACTGAGCCACATCCCCAGTCCATTTTTATGTTATATTTAGAGACAGAGTCTAGCCGAGTTGGTTAGGGCCTCGCCGAGTTGCTGAAGCTGACTTTGAACTTGTGATCCTCCTGCCTCAGCTTCCTGAGCTGCTGATTACAGACATGTGCCATCATGCTTGGCTTAAATATATATATTATATGTCAAGTAAAAATAAAACTATAGAGCTGGGTTATACACAGTCAATGGGCAGCTGACATAAAATCTGTATTTTTTAGTGAGACACCAGAGGTCCACTCACCCTCCTTCATCTCTTCCCTAACGTACCGCTGACACATTTTGACTTATGTCCTTGGAGCCCAATTACATTTTCCAACTAAATAAAATGTCAATGCATTACAAACAGAAGTTCCGCCTCTATATACTGAACTAAAATTTATTCTGTAAAGAAAGCTTTACACATTTTAAAAAATGAAAATTCAAAAGTCTTAGAATTAAACAATGAGTCTTCAATATCATGAAGCAGTTTATAACAGTAGTGAAAGTAGTGGTAACATTTTACCCTTGTGAAAATGTCACAGAATTCAAATCACAACTTGGATCCTCAATGATTCAAGTATTGTTTTATACATTAAAGGTTTGGTCAGTTTTGAGAGAGAGTGCCTTTGGACATGCTGTCCGCAAGTCCTCCACTGTCCCCGTCCGTCCGTCGTCGGCTCACACAGTGGGATAGCTGGCTGCGGTGGCAATTCCACAGTGGTTGTTCTTGTCTTTGGCCATTTTGACATAGCCATCTGCACCCCATTCTGAACCCCAGCTGAAGGTTTTTCATTTTATTAAAAAAAAAAAAAAAAAAAGAAAAAGAAAAAAGATTAGCTTTGTTAATAACAGCTGACACTTAGCAGTGTTTACATGTGACCGGGACACTGTTCTATATGCTATCACATCTGTATCTGCTATCACATCTGTGTCTGCTGGCTCCATATGCCACCCCACATTACATTTCAATAAAAGACAATTAGTTGTGAAAATTGATCCCTGCTTATCTTTGAGGCCTCCAGGAGTGAAATGAGATGGCGGGGCATCAAATGGCAACGACATTCTTTCAGACTTAAAGAAACATCAGAGGCAAATGTTTATGTGCACTTTAAGAAAATTTTCAAAATTTGGAAATGCAATGTTACAAATATCTATTAATAACCCTAAAAGCTTGGTACGGAATCTTATAATAATAAAACGTTAATATTTCTGTGTTCACTCTAAGGAGTAAGACCCTCCAGGATCTTAACACGGAGCTTTTATGAAACTATATTCAAATACTAATTCTAACTAAGAATTCCAATTCGAATTTAAAATAAAATAAGAGTTTTATACCTGTTCTTGACAAGCCAAAATTTCTTATTTGAATTTGCTTCAACACCGTAGCCAACCACCAGAACACCATGATCTAGGTCTTTGCTGCTGCATTCTGGATCATAATAAACTCCTGGGAGAATAAAATCCACACTGGAATGAGAGGCTCCAAGTGACATGTGACAGTGGCCCACCATGTCACCCATGGAAGGAAGGCATTTCTAAATTCTATTGAACGTCATAAACATTCCAAATTCTATAAAGAACTTAAATAGTATTTGCCTAAATACAGTAATGGCTGATAAGGGAAAAAAGTCGACCTCTACTCACCAGAAATCAACATAATTCCACAAGTCCAAAATATTTTCTAATTAATTTTTTTCCAGTATCTATTTTTTATTTATATTTTTTGTACTGGGGATTTGATTGAACCTGGGGGCACTTTTGTCACTGAGCTATATCCCTGGCTCTTTTTATTTTGAGATAGGGTCTTGCTAAGTTGTTTAGGCCTTACTAAATTGCTGAGATTACCCTCAAACTTGTGATCCTCCTGTCTCAGCTTTCCCTGCTATTACAGGTGTGTGCCATCAGGCCAGGTAGATCTAGTAAAGGCAAAGGTATTTCAAGCACTCATTTCCTGGTTTACACATCTATTAGCATAATCCTCTTCTACCCCTATGTCTAAAGAAATAGTACACATAAAATAACCGAAACACCCACATTTGAGCTACAAGGTTCTTTATACTTCTGCTTAAAGTAATAAAATCTTTTGGAAAAAGGTTTGACAATTGGAAAACAGGTAAATTAGATTTTACCTACTGACTGATTAGTATTCATTTAAAAATTTTGTGAATAAATAATCATGAGAAAATGCTTAATTAATGCAAATGGAAACATTACCATGTTCAACACACTTAAAAAGCCTAATGATCCTAGAAAGGATTCCATACAGAAGATTCAATCAGGACAGTGTTTTCCGTTCCGCCTGAACTTGTGTAATGTAAGATGACAAACACCCACCTGATTTGTAGAACTGGAAGGATGCGTGTCCGGCGTCAATAGCCACAGAGATGGGCCCCACCGTGGCCACTGCGCTCATGAGGGCTTTCTCCCGCGGAGGGATGTCCACAAATCCAGTGTCATTAGCAACTGCAAACTCAGGCTTGTACTTACAGGTTTCATCCTTTTAAAGTTAAAGGGAGGAGACTTGATTGCCACCATCTACCTTTGCAGGAACATGAATTCTAGGACCAGAACACTCAGCAATTTGCAAATTATGATTTAAGTCAGTACTGGTATACTGGTATAAACCACTCTAGGAAGTGAAATGCTTTTAGTCTATTTGAAGATTAGCTTATATTTTTAACGAGAACTCCTAGATTGACTTGTCTTTAAATTTTTTTTTTATTAAAGTGGAGAAAATTTACATTACATGGAAAATGGTTCGCATATCCTCCATGTGACACAGAAGCAAGAAAAGCTAAACATTAACCATCCAGAGAACTGTGCAAAGGCTAATAATATCTAATGAAGGATGGAACTGACAATTTGCAGTTATAAATTGTACCATTTAAAATGTGAATTCTGATGGCACAGTGGCACATGCCTGTAGTCCCAGAGGCTCAGGAGGTTGAGACAGGGGGAACGCAAGTTCAAAGCCAGCCTCAGCAAAAGCAAGGCACTGAGCAACTCAGTGAGACCTTGTCTCAGAATAAAAACACAAAATAGGACTGGGGATGTGGCTCAGTGTTAGAGTACCCCTGAGTTCAATCCCTGGTACCCCCCTCCCAAATAAAATAAAATAAAAACATGAATTCCCAATAAAGTATTATCTTGGAAAACGGTTCCACTTGCTAGAAACAGAGCTGGAAGGACCCAGATGCTTCATTTTACCTGTGCTTCGTAAGGATAGGAATCCTCTGAGTCCAGGCCTCCGTTGTCCTTGATGTACTGGAAGGCATTATCCATCAGCCCGCCATCACAGCCCAAATTGCCTTGAGGCCGAGAGCAGTCAACAAGGTTCTGCTCACTCAGCGAGATAAGTTTGCCAGTTTTCCGGAACATCTGTCCTTCCAGGGATCCAGTTGCGCTAAATGCCCAACAGGAACCACACTGACCCTGAAAAGGTAATCAAAATGCAGACAATTTGCAAGACAAAGACTGACAACATCTTACATTTGTGAATATCCTTTAAAAAAAACAGTGAACACGGAGCATATTGGACAGCAGCCCGGGTGTGCTGCAAGGGTCCGGATGGGGGCAGGGGACTAAAATTAAAAACTAAAAATACAAAAGTGAATTCCATGTTGCTTGTCAGGCTACGGAAGCACGAGTGCCCCCTCCTGGCTCTCCTGTGGGAGAGGCAAAGTCTGCATCCGACATCATACCTGGTTCTTCACGGGAGTCACGTAGCCCTTTTCTCTCCAATCCACAGATTTGGGGCTCCCAAACAGCAGAGGTTCCCGAAACACTTTCCCCTGGCGCCGGTACTTCTGGATTTTAAAGCCATTCTTCAGCTGTTTGAATTCTTCATTGGTCTTCAAGGAAAGATAAATGAAATATTAAAAGAGTAAAAAAAAAAAAAAAAAAAAAGCTGAGCAGAGAGCGAAGTGCCCCCCCCCCACATCACGCGTACCATGTCCCCGAAGGCATTCATGGCCATGGTGAAACCATGCTTCCCCTGGCTGTACTCCCCATTGTGCTGCTCGATCATCCTCATGTTCTTCTCCCACACCGCTCGCCTCCATCCTTCTTCATTCTAGAAGCAAGCACAGCTGATAGTTTTTATTTCTATTTAAAACTCAACCCATCTCCACAAGGGGACACCTGCTGGCACAGATGGAATTGAAACCATGGCCCGGCAGGGCTTCCCACTCCTGTGAGCTGGTCTCCAGGCCCAGACATAACTGAGTGCACCACAGGGCCCCCAGGTCACTGCCTGCTAAGAGCTGGCCTCTAGAAGTTTCTCTCTGGCCATAAACTGTGACCAGCGAGGACCACTTTCTGCAGGGTCCCCCTGGACAATTTCAATGTTACTCACCATGCCATATAGTCTCTTGTGTGTGGCCTTCCACTGGTACCACTGTGTATCTAAGTTTTGATCAAATTTTGGAATAGCTGAGGCTATTCCCAAGCAAAGGGCAGCCAGGAAGAGTGGGAGATTCATGGTTCAGAAACCTAGAAAGGGAAAGGAAACACCTGATGAAACCAATTCTTCCAATAAGTTAAAGACACCATAATGGAGTAAAAGCATTAAATTGCCTTCCCAGGTATTAACACAAAAGCTGAAAAGGCTGAGGATGCAGGTGTAGAAAAACAAGGCAGGAATTAAAAACAAACAAACAAACAAACAAAAAAGGTTATTTGGTCCAGCTACCAAAACAAAAAACAGCCGGACAAGTGTTACATTAGTGAGAAGTCACTGCCATTCCTAGAGTGTGATGACAATTCAGGTTTCGGTTAGTCTCACGATACCTTGTGATTGGGACAACAACTGGGAGACAAGGAGATGGCTGG